GAGACAGAAAACTTCAGCGAGGAGCTGACATGCGTGATAGTCACAGAGGAGGAAGACATCCAGTCAGAGTCCACATACCAGCCACCAGAGCTCCCAGTGGAAGAAACGGTCGTTCCCTACCAAGAAGAGATGCAAGGAGATGAAGACGAAGATGAAGAAGAAGAAGACAACCTAGGAGAAGAGCAACACGACAGAGAGGGAACTGAGGAGGAGGAGGAGGAGCAGGAGGAGGAAGAGGAGGAGGAGGAGAGGGAGATGAGAAGGCAGATAATGAGGCAGCAAAATTCTGATCACCAATATTCAAGTGGAGATTACACAAATCAGGCCAGAGATACGAAACATGTGCAGAGTAACGAGAATGAGGAGGAGGAGGAGGATGAGGAGGAAGAGGAGGAAGATGCAGTGAGAGAGACCGTTTTCGATCAGGAATCTGAAACCGTTGTGTCTCTCAGGGAAGAAAAGGTCAACACTCAGAGGATGGAGGATGAAGAGGACAGAGAAGCAGCAGAGGAGGAGTCGCAGAGCAGCAAAGCTGGTGAGGTGGTCCATGATGATGATGAGGAGGAGGAAGACGAAGACGAAGATGAAGAAGAGGAAGAAGAAGAGGACGAAAACTCTAGCAAAGCCTCTCCAAGCACGGTGATCATTGAAGTCCGCTCTGAAGAGGAGGAGCATGAGGAGGAGGAAGAAGAAGAGGAGGAGGAGGAAGATGATGATGAGGAACTGGAGGACGAAGAGGAGGAAGACAGAGGAGATTACATGGATCGACTCTCAGACGGATCCGGCGTCACGGATGACTCTGAAAACTGGGATATGACTCGAGGGAACCTGGGGCTGCTGGAGCAGGCTATCGCTCTGAAGGCGGAGGAGGTCCAGGGAGGTCAGGAGAGTAGCAGGTCTCCCGACTACCAGCCCTGCAGCACCTCCTCCAAGACCTCCGATGGCGCCCGCCGCTCCGCCCACTGCAACAAAGGTACATCAGTCCTAAAAGGTTCACAGGTGTCCAATAAATAAACACATTTCTGTCCAAACATGTGATACAGGAAACAGGAAGATCAAAAATAAAAACATCTTTTATCTGAAAATGCTCATCAAATATACAAAAGATCCATATTTTTGTGCTTCGATGGATTTGATTAACCTTCTATTGGTCTTTTAGAAAAGAAGGAAGTAAAATGTCCGACTCCTGGCTGTGATGGGACCGGTCACATCACCGGGTTATACCCTCACCACCGCAGTCTGTCTGGATGTCCTCACAAGGACAGAATACCTCCAGAGAGTGAGTAAAACCTTCCAAACATCTTTCAAAGCAGCAGAGATGGCCTCCTCAGCCTCACCGCTGCTCGTTTAAACAACACACCACCATCATCGTCGTTTGGTTCTTAAATGAGATTCTTTTGGGAACAACTCAAGATATTTTAGATCAGTATTTCAGATCAAAGCTGGTTATGTTGCCATGATTGCTGCAGCTAACATCAGAGTAACAACTGATCTCTCCATGTTGCTCATCCTCCACTAAACACACTGACCTGCTGTCCCTCTGCTGTGTGTCTGTAGTTCTGGCCATGCATGAAAATGTGTTGAAGTGTCCGACGCCTGGCTGCACCGGCCAAGGTCACGTGAACAGTAACCGCAACACACACCGCAGGTTATTCTCACACACACACACACACCGCAGGTTATTCTCACACACACCGACACACATACTTGTTCTGTCATAGTGAGGACCATGCGTTGACTCCCATTGACTTCCATTGATTTTCAGTCATTTTCAACCCTTTCTATGCTCTAACCCTAAAACTAACCCTAAACCTAACCATTACCGATGCATACCTCAACCTAACCCTAAACCATTGACACCTCAACCCTAAACCTAACCATTAGCAAAATAGCTATAGGACCAGCAAAATGTCTTCACTTTGCAACAACTGGTCCTCAAACTGATGGTGAAATTGGAAAAATGGTCCTCACTCTGACGGCTAGACAGGTACACACACTGCAGTTTATTCACACAAACACTGCAGGCAGGCTAGGTTTTAGTTGCATCGCTAAAAAAAGTCTAACTGAATCCCTTATTCTCAGATTAGCCAAAATGTCTGTTGTTTTGAGATGGATTTTCTGATGAAGATCAGATTCTCATTATTACGGAGCCCCTCTTATGACATGGTCAAAAAAAATGTTTAATTGTGGCCACGAAGTAGTATTTCATGCGCACGAAGTAGTAT